CAGCCCCAAATTACAGTACCTTTAGCCACCTTCTGCTTAAGCTGCTCCTTTACCATCTGAAGAAGAAGTAGAGGCACAGACAGGACTGCAAATCCCCTACCTTCCAGGAGTGATGGGGGTAGCATTGCTCTGGCCATTTGGTATTTGGAGCACATGGACAATAGTGTACCCTGTGTTTAGAAAATTATTTGGGATAAAGTTGTTAACAACGGAGTTAGAGTGTTGGACCTCAGTTCTTGAGTGTGGCTAAGAAAGAATTCAAAGCCAAGAATTCAAACATAAGAAATGTATGTAGGAAGTTACAGAGGTAGTAGAAGTTAGCCAGGGGGGCTACATGGACTCAGGAAACAAGTTACAGAGCAAAAGAAGGGCCCTTGGAGCTTAGGAAGAAGAAAGCAAAGATAAGGCCCCTGAGGGAAGAAGAGGGGGAAAGGTGGGGATGTGCTCCATAGTGCTCCCCTGAAGAAGGAAAGAAGTGTGGGCATGTTTGAGAGAGAGAGAGAGACAGAGAGAGAGAGCGCACTGAGGTCCTTTATCTTAAGAATTTTGATCTTCCAAAGGTGGGGATTTTAGAGGAGATCTCAGGGGAGGATCTCAATTGAATATTCATCAGATTTCCATGTGTGACTCTTCACAGTCGTGGTCTTTACTGATTGGTTGGTGCTAGGGGAGGAGGTCATTAGTCATTACATCTGGTTTTGATATCAGCCATGGCATCCCTTTATCTGATTTTGCTGCTTTTTTTGGGCCTGGAACTGAAACACAACTGAAGTCTAGATGTTATCTCTAGTTTGACCAAAACTCTGTCTCTGTGGTCAATAGACCCAAGGCTTTGTTCCTAAGATTATTTGATGTTGACCAGAACCTCATTATCCTGAGGGCTCAATGCTTGAGGAAGTGGTTGTGCAAGGTTTTATATGGGAGTCTTATGAGGCTAATCCTTAGCCCCCTTGTTTCTCCTGTAAAGGGGTCTAAACAGAATGACTAGTGATATGAAGGGTCAGGGGGTCTAAGCCACATGACCAGCGACATGCTAGGGGAGGAAAGGTTATATCCTGTGATTAAGGTCCTAGACTATTAATACTTGTTTTTACAGTTTTGTCCATTGCTAGGCACCTGAGATTTTCTGCCCTGGTGATATTCTGTACCTGGCCTATTTTTCCTGTTCTGTTCATGCCTGTCAAACTGCCTACTCTAACAAAATCATAAAGATAAAATTTTTAAAAGAAAAGTATTTTTTTGTCTTGTTCTATTAAACACGGGCCATTGATGTTTTAAGATGCTCAGAAAATTTTGTTTGTGGGATTTTTTTGAAGGACAAATATTGATGTGTGTGCTAAGAATTAAGACAGATGATAATTGAAAGAGATGGTAAAAGCTAGTGGTTTTCTTGGGGGAAATAATCACAAATTACTGTCAGACTGATTCCAATAAGAACATTATGTGAAATGTTTTTTAAACAGCTCAACCAAAGCAGTAAGGCAGAAACTTCCGAGGGCATCTCTTTGCTGTGTGTTTCCATTATATTCCCACCTGAGATCTTCCAACTTAAGTTATTCACTGTTCCAGCTACAGTGTCATGGCCAGCACTCAGTTGGAAATGAGAAATATCAGATTGCAAGAAGGATGCTATTTGTGAATCCTCGCGGTAACTCCATAGGTTCACCATATTGGTTCATCATAGGATGCTGTGCAGGAGAACTTCCATTGACCCCTCAAGGTCCACTCTGTTACCCTGCTCTTCCTGTTCTGCACCCTGGAGACTGACCCGTGTAGACCAACTACAGCCTTCCTCTTCTCTGCCTTCCTGTTGGGTTTGACAGTTGGGGTGGGTATGTAATAGGATTGGATGTGATAGGATTAGCTATGTTCCTCTATTTTCCTCTATTAAGTGCCTTCTCCATATAGTTTCCCTCTCTGGGTTTCCAAAATTCCTCCCCCTCCTTGCTCTTACGGTTTATAAGGGCTCTCTGTTGCTACCTGCCACAAATATTATTGCATTGTTCCTTCTTGGTGTCCTTAAATCCTGCCTGCACCTTTGTAAAGAGTCTATTAAGTTCTTCTCAATTAATCTGTCTCTTTTGCCTTATTTCAAAATGGAAACACTCTCTTCTAGACCACTCTACCTCCAAATTATAATCAAATAGAGCAGGGGTCGGAAAACGACAGCCTTGTGGGCCAAGTCCAGCCTGCTGCCCGTTTCTGTAAATGGAGTTTATTGGAAACAGCCATGAGTACTTGTTGACTTACTAAGGCTGCTTTTGAGCTACAACCGGAGATGAGGAGTTGCAACAGAAACTGTACGGCCTGCAAAAGTCTAAACCCTGATTTAGAGGAAAACCATAATGGGTGAACTAACTTTATCATTGTCATCAAGAGGCTCCGGGGCCAAGGGGCACTTGGGAGCAGGCCTACAACAATGCCATGGGAATCTTTAAACCCCAGGCCTCACCAGGCTGGCCCCAGGGCGTTGGGCTGCTGTGCGGACAGCAGTGGCAACCTGGGAAGTCACTCTTTGTCATTCTATGCAAAAAGAATGTGACCAAGCAAAACTAGGAGGCATTTGTATTTAAATGTGCTTATCATTTATGATTTCATAATTAAATAGTTTCCTGCAAAGAATAGCTCTCCCAAGCATTTCAGCATTCCCCTATCAAAGTCATTTTGTACATATTCACCTCCCCTACCAGACTGTGAGCATCTCCTGGGGGAGTCGAGGTTTTATTCACATCGGTGTTGGCCAGTGGCTGGCATGCTTTGACCAAATGATAATCAACATCTAATTCAGAAAAAGGAAAAGGAGACATGGGGGGTGGGGGTGGAATTTCCTGGCCCTTCCCCTATATCCCAATAAAAACAAATTCACAAGAAAAAAAAATAGGTGGGATAGAAGACATTAACTAGGAAGATATATGAGCTAATGTTCTCAGACTCTCTCTGAACAAGCACAGCTATAAGAAAATGCTGTTTTTCTAGAAAAGGTGCCCCTCAGGGCAAACTGAGTACATAGTTTGCAGGGCCTAGTGCAAAATGAAAATGCAGACCCCTTGTTCAAAAATTAAGAATTTCAAGAGGGTGTCAGCAGCACTTGAAGCCAAGCACGAGCCTCTAAGACTAGGCAGGTTGCATGCCCACGACACCAGCTTTGCCTTAAGGATTCCTGAGAAAGAGTCAGCCAGTGGGAAATCGGTGAAGGCTCTTTAAGGACTGCAGGGTGCTCAGCCACTATGAGGCAGAGCAGACCTGTCTGGACAGTAATACTGAGGACCCCAGGGACTCCATGCAGTGAGTCAGCAATGCCTAACCTGGAACAAGCCTTTATCACTTACAAAGAATTTGCATTTATCTCAGACCCTCATTCAAGAGTGTACTCCTCTTCCCCAAGCCCACACACCTGCCTTCACCCTGACTAACCTGCTTGCTCCCCCACTTCTTGCTTTTAGTTTAACCCCAACCTAGATGGCTAGGAGCAACAGACCACATCTGCACTAAAGCATCTCAGGCCTAACATCTAACCTGTTTAGATGTTTCTTTTTTGGATGATAGACAGTTCCTGCCATAATACCTGTTTAGTCTGTTCAGGCTGTCGTAACAAAATGCCACCGTCTGGGTGGTTTTATGTACAACAGAAATGTATTGCTCACAGTTCTGGAGGCTGGCAGCCCAAGACCAGCGTGCCACCACGGTTCAGTTCAGGGCTGTACTGCCTACTTCTGGCTGTGTCCTCACATGGTGGAAGCGGCTGGGGGCTCTATAGGGCCCCTTTTATAAGAGCATTAATCCCATTCAAGAGGGCTCCACCCTCATGACCTAACCACATCCCACAGGCCCCATCGCATTGAGCATTAGGATTTCAACTGATGAATTGGGGGTGGGGAAGGCAATAACATTCAGACCATAACAGTACCTAACTGGAGAACAATGCATATACATGGATGGTCTCTTTATCTTGTCCCCAGAACCCTCCCTGCCTCCTTCCTCACCATAAAAGGGATTTGAGGGGACCATCCCAAGCGCTCTGCACTCTGTGCCAAGACACCCAAGGTCTTTCCTGACACTAGACATGCACCCTGCCAACAGCTGAGCCTCTCCAGCCCCCCAGCCCTTTCCCGCACACCATACTCACCCCTTGGAAGTGAGGCTCCAGGAAGTTTCCAGGTGTTAAGAACCATAGGAGGTGAACTTGGAACTCTAGCAAGGACTCATGACTATTGCTTCCTGTTGACTGGAGGGGTCCCCATTTTTGTTTCTTCTAGACCATTGCCTTCCCCCAGCCCTTCATCCACCCCACCACGCTACTAAAGGGATCTTAGGGTTCATTTCTAGCCACTCTGCTCCAGGAGCTCCACCTGTTCTCTGCTAAAAGGTGGGGGCCCCCTCACAGTGTTAGAAGGCTACCCTTCCAGCCCTGCTGGTGACCCCTCCTTGCCCACATGTCCAAGGTCCCAGAGGCCAGGAGGTCTGGAACACTGGGTGGCGCCACCGAGCCTCCCTGCTGTCACCCTCTGTCTCCCTGTGCAGGGGAAGGTGCCAAAACGCAAGATTTCAGGCATTATGGTGCTGAGACAACAAAACTTGCCCATAGGGAGGCACATATCTCGGAAGCACTAAGCTTTGGAAACCAGGGGAGTGTTTCTTCTGAATGGGATCAGCGTGGGTAATGCAAAGCTGCCGCTGAGAGAGCCCAATGGGGTCAAGTGGAGTTTGCTTTGATCAGAAGAGTCAGCGTCCCAGGGGGATGTCTTTGCAATCTCTGCTCAGCCTGCTAGCTGGGCTTTCTCAGGCCTCATTTGTCTCCCTGGGACTGATGTGGTCTCAATGACAGCAGCTCTCAACCAGCTCCCTGCCCCCTGCGTGCAGGCGGGCTTGCTTTGCAGGCCGCTGGTTTTGGTTTTACGTGAAGGATGAGCAGCCTTGTTGCCTCCTCTCATACTCTAATTCTTTCCCACCCCACCCCCAAACTCCTCCTTACACACCGACCTCTGTTTTCTCTCTCGCAGGGTTCCCGGTGGCACATAGACCTGCAGCCTTGGGCAGGCCCTGCTCAGTCCCTGGATGAAGAAGCCTCGAGGTTCCTGAGATATATCAGCACCACCCAGGTTGTGTTTCATGCGCAAGGGGGTTTGGAGATGATGCAAAAGATACTGATTGCCCCTTTTGAAGAAGGATTTGTCGGTGAGGGGTGGGGAGGTTTCCAACGACTCCTGATGGGGGACTTGAGAGGGACATGGTTTCTGGGGCATCGCTGCTTGTGTGTATCCGCTCTCTTAGAAGCAGATAAGGGTGCCTTCTGTGCCCGTCAGCATCCTCTCCCTTCCAGGAGCATCGCCATCCTGACACATTTTCATGATTCATCCTGATGTGTTGTAAGGATCCACTTTAGAAAATGGCTTTGGAAAACCACTTGAAGAAACAGATGTGCGCCCGTGAGTAGGCAGTCGAGTGTGTCACAAGACAAAACCCTCATCCGGAGGAGGTTCAAGCTTCGTTTTCTATCTGGGGGAATCCGCCTGCTTGCTTTTCTGCCACAGACACTGGGCAGACAGGGACGTGCCAGGCCAGAGAGCAAAGGCGACTCCCGCAGGCAGTCCAAGGAGAAGCTTATGAATCCAGAGGCTTTCTGTTCTCCGGGGCCCTTTGAATCATTACCGAGCACTGGCCTGTGTTCGTGACTTAACACGTTGTGGCAGCTCCCGCCCAGCTCGGCAGGCTGAGTTGGTGCCCCGAGCAGGCAGAGAGATCGTCCATTAAGGAGAGTCTGTGATTCTTGACACATTAATCAGGAGGTTCCATTCTCAAGTAGCCTGATCCTGGGGAGAGAGGCAGAAGAGGAAATGGAGGCCGGAGGGGAAACGTCGCCCTGAAGTGAGAGGTGCTAGTAAATTAACAACTCAGGCTGTCTGTGAGGTGCAGGCCCACTCAGCAAGCCTCACTGGCTGCTGGGGTGGCACTGGGGACCCGAGTTCCTTGATGTCCCTTCAACCCATTGGCTCTTGGCATTCCACTCCTCCTCCCAAACCTTATGGCAGCAAAGCCCATTTTTCATCCACGGGAGAGAATGTATTCCTAGATCCGTAGAAGGCTAATTTAGAGGTAGAAGAAAGTCTCATTTCTCATAGGATGCAGTCAATCAGGGATTTTAATATTTGTCACCTAGACATGGAAGTAAAAGCGTGTTGAATTAATCATGAGGAAGGGGATGATAAATTGGTCCCCGTGCTTTACATAGTTTTTATCTTATTCTGCTGCTACAGATGAATTTGGTGGCCTCACACAGACTTAATTAAAATACTGAAATTGTAATTTTATGGTTTGGTTTTACGTGAAGAATAAGAAGCTGGACTTCTTTACTGTGACTTTTAAGAAGCCCTTAAAGGCCACCGAGAAAAGGGAGAGATGTGAAACTTATGAGTTGAATTTGAGAACGATGGGCTCCACCCCCCCCAAAAAATTGACCAAGTGAAAGCCTCTACATCCCATTTCGTACGTACTGCAGGTTAATATTCTGTAACTTCTAAAAGATGTATTTACTTAGAAGAGGCTCTTGAGGCATGAAAGGGTCATCTGAAGCCTCTCTTGGATCTTTCCCATGTCTTACGGGCTGAGAGGAGAAAAATTCTAAAAGAATAAAATAAAAGCATGCTACTGTGTGCGCTGATGTTGTGACCCTGGGCCATTTATTTTGCTTCTCTGTGTCTCTCACTGTTCTGATCTTGAAAAGGAAGAGTACTAAATTGTTTCTAAGGTCCCTGTCAGTCCTGTGACCTTGTACTGTGCTGAGAGTAGTGTAGGATTGTGTGTTTTTTTGGTTTTTTTTGAGCATCTACTATGTGCCAGGAACTGTGCTAGGCCCTGGGGATATAACACGAGCCTCAAGAGACTAACAAACTAGTTGGAAAGGCAGAGAAATGGACATACAATGCTTATTCAGCTTGGTGAGTACAATAATAGAATTTTGGTTGATGAAGCTCATTAGGAGGATTTTTGTCCTCCAGAAAGAATAAGATAAAGTTCCAGACCTCAGAATGGTTTTGTGATCAGGAGTCACTTTACCCAGATGAAATCCTGTGCTTTTATGTACTTCCAGGTCATTCGGAGCCCAGCAGGTGGGAGCTCATCAGAGATGACACTAATTTGTGCTTAAATAGAATCTTTTGCTACCCAGGGCTCTCTCCCCCTTTCTATGCAATGCAGAGCTTTTTGGGTGCTTTGGGGGCTATGCTTCATTTAGGATTCATTTTGAAAATGAAAATCTATAAAACTGGCAGAATATTAGAGTCACTCTTACCTAAAATTTCCAGTTAGCAGAAGTGAGTCATAATGGGCAAGGAAAAGAAATTAAACCTCTGAAGGTACTAAAGCAAATTCCACCCCCGTCCTCTCTGCTGCTTTTTAAAATAAAATAAAAAATTATTTCCCTCAAATCTGTGTTCAAACTTGTACAGCAAGGCCCAGCATTTGATGTGTTCATCATTGATTTATTCTTTTCTCAATTCAGTGGATGTTTGTTGAGCTCCTGCTTTGTGGCTGGCACTGTGCTGGACACAGGCTGGGATGCCAAACCTGAATTAGATGCCCGCTCACACTGGTAAGCAGGCAGGGTGCAGGAGAGCTGTGTGTTCTCCAGCAGCGTAAACGGTGGGTGACGCTTCCCCAGGCTAAGGGAGCTGAGGAACAGGAGCCCTGTGCGTGGCACAGGGTGGCGCCGGACTCCGAGGAGATGGCGCTCCTGCTCTTGCATTGTGGCGACTCTGGTGGCATGACTGGGGCCCTGCATTTTGAATGCAGCACCTGAGGATGTGGTGTGTGGGTAGAGTGTAGGGAACGTCAAGCTCCAGCTCATCAGGTGTTGTTTTCTAATGTGAAAGACCACGGTTACATCTCTGAGTTTTGCAGCTGATGATACACTGATGGTTAAATCACAAACACAGAGCTCGATTCTAAGGGAAGGCTCCAGATCTAGCTTTTGATGGCAACCCCCAAACCATATGCCTCCAGGAAGCGTGCTGTGCAGCACAGAATTAATCTAAGCAACAGTTACTGGTTAAAAAAAATAAAATGCGTTTTAAACATCTATCTATCTATCTATCTATCTATCTATCATCATCTACCCTTCTACTTATTTTTTTGAGAATAACATTAGAACCTAGATTCTGGAGAGAGACTTTAGAACTTCATAACAATATGCTTTTATGCTTACTATTACACACACACATGCACACACACACACAAATTGGGATAAAAACAAGAAAAACACAACCCTTTCCTTGAGATTTTACCTTTCCAAATAGTGGTATTACATAAACACACAGTTGGTCAGTGAAGTGATTCTTGCCAAAAGTCCACAAATTTTAAGGGCTCCCTTCGCCAGGTTCCACTTGTGGATTGGCAGAAAGGCTATTCAAGCTTCTTCAGTACAACAGAAAATAAAAATAAATTATATTCCTTTAAGTTAAATAACTAAAAAGCATTTTAGAAAACATTTTTCTCCCTGGAGTCTATTTTTCTTTGTCTATACCTAATTTGCTTTTATATGGCAAAAATTATAAGGGGAATTAGAAGAGGAGGGGAGGAAGAAAGAGAGGGAGAGAGAGGGGGGGACATAATTACTGGAGCTAAAGTTTAGCTAGGAGTTACTGCCCTCACTTATTTGCTTGCAAGAGGGTTTATGGAAGCCCTAGCCATAAATCTTAACAAGGAAGTTTGAAAAATCAATATTTAATTAATTTTTAGGAGCTGAATTTTACTTTAGTTGTTTTCAAAAGCTAAAGTCTATCAATGAGATAGTTATTAAATGGTTAAAATGGAAGAACTGTGTTTTATTTTTGAACTAGGAGAGAAAAGGGGAACATTAGCAAAGAGTTTGAATGGAAAAGAATGCCTTTCCAATAGGGATCTATCTGTGCAAGATGAAGTCTGTGGAAGAAGAAGAAATGCTTAAAGTGTCCTTTTTAATAGAATAAAACTCTACTTCCAATGTTGGCAAAGGAGGAGCAGCTGAACCCCAAAGCCCTGAATCTTGACCCTCAATACTTACCCGACTCTTAGAGGCCTCTGGCTGATTGCCGGTCCTGCCTCTCTGGCTTTGTTAGGGGTGGGGTTGGGACTGCTGTTTTCAGGTGAAAGCTCTGGCCTAAGAGTAGCCTCTTCTCTTAATTTGCTAAAGCACAGGGGAGGCCGGCTGAACATTTCAACGGGGCTTTACAAAGGGTGCAGTAGACCACTGGCATAAGAATCACCTGGCAAACTTGTGAAGATGCATGCATCAGCCTCAAAGTTGCTGATTTGACAGATCTGGAGTGGCACCCAGGAATCTGCATTTTGAAGTACCGCCCAGGTCCATCAGAATGTAGGGGGACCACACCTTGAGGAACACTGTGGGGAAGGCCAGACTTAGGCTCTAATGCTGTTAGGAGGGAATTATGAATAAGAACGATGAGCATCCCTATCCTAATCTGCTATTATGGCAGTTTGCAGGGAGGGGTCCACACAAGGACAGCAGCAGATGGGCATCGCCGTGGCACTTTAATAAACATACCCCAGGAAGCTGCCCTGGAGCCAGTGGCTCAGCTCTGAGGACCAGGTGTGCCTTGGGGGCCCTCACAACTGCCCTGGCCTAACTAACTGCATCAGGAGGCAGGGTATGAACAGAGTGCCAGTGGAGGTGCTGATGTTTAAGGCACAGTAACTTGCCCACTAGCAAAAACAGGCCCAGTGAACACACAGCTCTGACTAATTAGATTAGCAGCTTCTCCATTAGTGGGTGGGTGGAGACTAGCAGGTGGGCAGGCAGAGGCATAGTTTCCATTTATCTGTGAGAGAATAATAGGAATAAATTACACAAAGTAATATGTTGCCACACTCAGTTAATAAATGTATCCTAGTTGCTTGGGAGAAAATTCAATTCCATTTATTATTTTTCCCCCTTTAAACAGTGGTTGTAGACAGAGATACTGGGTTGAGGGAAAATAATATAAATATACTAGAGGCCCGGTGCACAAAATTAATGCATGGGTAGGGTCCCTAGGCCTGGCTGGTGATCAGGGCCAATTGGGGCCTTCCGGTTGCCAGCCGGGACCTTCCTTCTGGCTGCCAGCCGGGGCCTCCCTTCCCCAGCTGCCAGCTGCTGGACAGGGACTTTCTTCATTCCTCACTGCCCCCTGGTAGTCAGTGCATATCATAGCGAGCGATCGAACTCCTGGTCTCCCAGTCAAACTCCTGAGGGGACAATTTGCATATTAGGCATATATATATATAAAGAGTAATATGCAAATTAACCATCACTCCACGACAAAGATGGCCATGCCCATAGTGGCTGGGGTGGGGCGCTGGTGGCGTCACCTGGCAACACAAGCCCAGCATCCATGCCCTGGCCACACGGAGGGAGGGGAGGGGCTTCTGGCCAGAGGCCTGGGCACGGGATGCTGGGCTCGCCTTGCCTCTGGTGACATGAGCCCAGTGTCTGTGCCCTGGCCGCGCAGAGGGAGGGGAGGGGCCCCAGCCTTGCGGAGGGAGGGGAGGGGCCTTGGGCCATAGGCTGGGGGGCAAGGGATGCTGGCGTCATTGCAGGTTGGGCTAAGGGAACCGCCCCCCCCCTGCACGAATTTCGTGCGCCGGGCCTCTAGTATTTGTAGAAAAACTGATAAACAAATAATAATATATATATATATATGGTTTCACTTGTTAAGCTTCCCTCTAATGTCCAAATCCTAGCAGAAGACTCTGTCATAGTCACTGATAGTGCTAGGGTGATTTTACCAGGCCAGCCCTAGACTACAAGAGTAAGGGAGATGCTGTATTAGTTGAATAGGTGCCACATTATAAACTCCTCTCAGATTAAAAATTTGCAAAAAATGGTTAAATTAAAGGATTGGAAAGCCTAGAATATCTTCTTAAGAGGAAAATTTTTTGCTGTGTTGTTTTCCAATGAATCAAAGCACTGAACCTCAAAACACCTTTTGCATCTGGAGTGGTCTGCTGTCTGTGATGTGGCAGCGAGAGCCTGCGATTCTCGGGACATCGCGATGACTATGAGAGTTTGAGGGATTAGGGGAAGTGCTCTTGCTCAGCAAGGTGAACACCTTGGCCAGTCTTGTTTTCTTTGGTTCCAGCAGCCTCTGCCGTGCACACTGTGTCAGCCTCAAACACAAGTCCTTAGAAAGATATTTACTACTTCATGTGCATTTGAAATTAGAGACTTGCTTCTGCTTGATTTAGATGCCAGTTCCCTTTGGTTTTCTTATCTTTCTTACCCAGAAGTGCTTTGGGTAGCTCAGGGAGAGCCTCCTTCCTGGATGGGGCCCTTGCTCTTCTCCCCCAGGAGGAAGCTCATGAGAAGAGTGTGTTACAAAGCGAACTGTCCTCTTAGCGTGGACTAGGATTAATTTTCCATGACCCCTGATCAGCTGTTAGCCTTGGGAAACACATGCTACCTATCTGGACCCTGGTGGCCCCACCTTATCTGCCTGAGATAAGGAATCAATAATCTTGTATCCTCCTGAGACCCAGGCCTGTGGGCGTATCCCACGACTTCTAGTAGGAACGCTGTGGGTAACTGACTCTGTGTTTTCGGAGCCCTGTTCTCCATGTCTGGAATGTCCTCGTGGTCTCAGCTTCTGTTCGTTCTCCAAGGCTGACACAACTCTGTGAAGCCTTTCCTTACCCCTCCTCCCTGCCGTCATTGTTCCTGACTTGCTCTCCCCTGTGTGCTCTGTGCATACGGCTATAGCAGCTCGTAACGTCCCTTCAAACCTGCCTATAGTCTCCACGAGGTTATTCATAACCTGGTACTAGGAATTCCTCTGAACATGTTACGGCAGCCTTGTGTTTCCCCAGGGAAGGGCATAGCTAGCAGTGGAGAAGGACAGAACTCTTCCGCTATGGTTTTCAGGGACCAGGGAAGCGGTAAGTGCCCACCTGCCATTTATCATCCAACGCTTTAAATTATTCACATTGATTTCCAATCCCTACAGATTGCATGTGATCACATGAGTGCAGACAGCCTGGCTACAGACTCCAGCTCTGCTAAGCAGCCCTGGTCGGTTTGTCTTGATGACAGGTTTGGCTTAGCTCATCAAATCCGCAACAAGCAGTGCCGTCTCTACTCTTTAGGGTGAGTATATTTTACAGCAGAAGAGAACAAAAACACTTCTGCAGGCGGCCAAGGTCTTTCCAGCGACACGTAGTTATGAATGGGTGCAGTGTGTGGCAGGTGCTCTGCTTTGCCTCCTGCCATTGTCCGGACTCTCTGTCTGTGATGTAACTATGAGTCCTTGCAGTTCACCCGAATTGGTCAGGGCCACTTTCTCATTCTGCAGGGAGTGAATTGTCAACTTCAGTTTTCAGCATAATGATGATCCTCTTGGTGAAGTCAGTGATTTCCAGCGAGAATTAGGGCGTCCTTATTGTAAAGAGAGAGAAAAATGTTAAGAGTGCACCTAGAGAAAAGGAAGAACAGTGAGGCTGTGAGACATTTTAGGCACAGTATGATGAGTGGCCCAAGGCAAATGGCCACGATTGGACTTGGATGTTTTGCACCAATGGTAAATCTGGGCATCTTTTTCCATTAAAAAAGAAAGAAACAAAAGGAACTTTTTATGAAACCACAGATTTTGTCAAAACTGTGGGAAATATTGACATTCAGTTACTCAGGCTGAAAATGACCTAAATGTACAAATTGATTTAGAGAGCTTTTTGTAAAAGGGTGAACATAAAGCGATGAATCTATTTCACCAAATACACCAGGACTCATTAAACAGTCCTGAACTTACAAATGGTATATGCCCAGAAAAGGCAGGAGAGAGTTATTTTTGTTTGGAGCACCCTGTCCATAGACTCTTTGTGGAAGCCATGCAGTTAGGTCCTCAGGCAAGACCCCCGAGGTCCTTCACAGAAGCTCCGGGGACCCCAACAAGTGTCATAGGCTTGTTCCTCACCAATAGGTTTCATCACCGCTAAGATTTACGTCCAGGCCCATGAGTGACAGCTGCGCACCAGAATCCTAGATGGTAAGCGTTAGGGGCAGACATTTGGGTGATGTGGAGGCCTACCCACAGGTGCTGATGCCTGGAGGATGACCACCGCTTGTAAAACTTCACCAAAACAAAAATTCTTAATTATAGTCATCATGGATTTAAAAAAACCACAAATGTTTCAAGTAAGAGTTTCAGGATAATAGAAGCATTCTTCTATGGGTTAAATGAAGAGTATCAGTGGAACTTGATAAGAGCAAGCACTCAGTATATACAGGGTGTCCCCCCAAAATGTATACACACTTTGAATACAATGATAAAGGCAGTGTTTGTTTAAACGTATTTCCTTTTCATTTAACAGCTATCAGCTGTTAAAGTGTGCATACATTTTTGGGGACACCTGTATTTGTTACATAAATGGTTGCTGAGGTAAGGAGACTAAGGAGGGAAGCTGGCTATGCTGTGATTTAAACTTGGAGGCTTGAGGATTAGGAAATAAATTGCTCAGCCAGTTGATTAGAGCTCTTTTGCTGGGAGCCCAGCAGCTCTGCTTCAAGATTGTAGGAAGAATGGGAAGTTGTGACAGGAGAGTTTATTTTATATCATATTAAAAATGTATGAAAGTAGGCCATAAAAATAATTGCATAGTACCACATGCAAATTGGAGATCTCAGCTTGGTCTTATTTTCTTGCTCCAAATTGCTTTTATATGTTGCTTAATATTTTACACCCCGGAATAATTTTATTTAAAGCATATAACTGAGTAAAATGAAACTGGAAAAGCTGTTTTTGGAGAGATTTTTAAAATTCCTTCTTGCTTTCCTCATACTTCAGTGCCATTAGATACGATGGTTCTGCTGTAAGATATCTGATTATTACATGGAAAAAGGTAGTTTCTTACTTTCATTTAAATGTTCACTATTCAAAATCAACTTTGTAAAGAGCAGATAAGAACAGTTGGATTCCACTGGAAATAGAAATGAATAGATTATGAGGGCCAATATTTGATTCAAAACCTGAAGATGCTTAATTGAAAACTGGAAACTAAAGAAATCATTTCTTATGCCCTAAATAAGGATGCTTTGGATTGTGGATGTATAGATGCTGATCACACTGTTACAGGGCTGAGGGTCCAGGCAAGCATCCCCCTTCCTCAGGTAAATCGTTTGCTCGGGGGACAGGTAAGTAGCAGCTGACAGCATCTCAATTGATGCTGAAGGAAGAAAGAAACCCAGGGCAGAGTGGTGCTCCTGAGATGAGGTGCCTGAGTTCCCCGCGTTGGGAGTGTTGGGACAGTTGTGAGACAGGTGGGGAGGGCAGGTGGGGCGTATGGCCCCTACATCCAGGCAGCGAGTACTCCCAGCCCCAGGGCCATGGCAGCAGCAACACCGTGCCAGGCATTTCCATCCTAACGGAGGACGATGGGTGCAGCTGCAACTGAGCGTTACCTTCCTGAGTGAGGAAGGAAGGGATCTGAGGACCTGAGCATCAGAGGACACAGGCTGACTGCCCTGCCTCTTGGTCTGTTTCCTACCTTTCCCCCAACCCCAAGAACTGGAGCAGGTATCATCTCCACCTTTCTCTGAAGTTTCTTTACTAGGAACCAAAGCTTTTTATTTTACATAAAGGACTTTTTTTTTTCCCCTGGGAAAGTGTACTCTGTACGAAGGTCAGTTGAAAACTAAAGTCAGATCCTTTTCAGTTTTGAAATGGGTAGAATAGACCAATTAAGACAGGAAAAGCACCGACAAGGAACATTATGTTATGGAGAAGGGAACTGAGAAATGAGAGGCTGTGGGTTCAGATGATAATATCATCTCCCGTAGAACTTGGGACGCGTCAGCCCTGCAAGTCTTCCTGCGTGTAGGGTGGAGGGTGATGGTGGGAGCTGGTTGGGGGGCTGGGGGCTAAGGGAGGTAGCGAGAGTGAACTGAGGAAAATCACCTATTTCATCCTTCATGTGAAAGATTGAATTTCAGGGGTAGGAGTGTGAGTGGAAGTGAAAACTTGAGATGGGATCATATACAGGCAAATGTTTTTCATCTTTTCTTTAGTTCTTTGGGGGAGAGGGTTGAAGATATTAATTTGGTTTTAAGACAATTCTCAGCATTAGACAGAAGAAGATTTGATAGATGACACACGGTTAAGCAACAAGAGCAATATTTTATACAGAAAATCTGGGACTTCGGTTGCCATGAGCACGTCAAGAGCAATGACTGATCTCCAGAGCCAGACATTTTCATCTTATACTCGTGTAATTAACACAGGAGCTCACAGCATGTACGGATGAGGAATCAGAAAACCGTGGACACAAGGAAACTTCTTAAATAATTATCACCCCCATGAAATTTTAATATCATAGGTTTATTATGATCTGTTTACATATATATATATATATAATATCTATAATAATAATATGCAAATCGACTGAATGACCAAATAGCAGAATGGGCGTCAGGACGACCTTCCGGATGACCACACTATGACACGCACTGGAGCCAGGCCAGCCAAGCAGGTGTGATGCGATTGGTTTGGGGGCTCTGCCATCGCCCCATGATCACCCTGCGGAGGGAGGCCCAGGCCACCCTCTGCACCGTGATCGATCGCGGAGCCCCAGGCGGGTGGGCAGGGCCTCACTCTGCTGGGCGATCGATCCTGGGGCTCCAAAGAGGGAGGCCCAGGCTACCTGGCCGGTGGTGCTGTGGCAGGTGTGTGGGTCCAGCCAGCGATTGCCCCACAGAGGGAGCCCCAGGCCAGCCAAGCAATGGCACCCATGCCTATCTCCCTCAGAGGGAGGCGACCGGTGGTGGGGAAGGGGGGGCAGCACTGCACAGATGGCAAGCAGTGGCAGCGGCAGGGGTGGGGGCAGGGCCAGGGCCAGCTGCTGGCAGCCAGGGAAAGGAAAGTCCAGATAGGCCCTGATCACCGGCCAGGCCTAGGGACCCTACCTGAGGGGTCCCGGATTGTGAGAGGGTGCAGGCAGGCTGAGGGACACCCTCCCCTCCCCCCCCCCTTGCACAAATTTTGTGCACTGGGCCTCTAGTATTATATAATGTATAATAATATATTATATGTATATCTGTGCTTTATATGTAAAAAGAGGAAGATGTTTTGGGCCCCAAGAATCAATTTTTGCCCCCTTAAGGGTGAGATCATCTCTGTTGAGAATATATGTAAAAAAAAGTTGACATTTTTGTGCAATGTTATTTAATAAAAATGAATACTTATAAAATATTTTTTATCCACTATTCAGTGTCATTAATGCTTTGGAAAACCTATTTCCTTCCAGTAGTTGGCAGTTTATAGATCTAATTATAATCATTTCAATAATTATGTAATAGATCACCTAATTATCTATATCAAGATAGATAATCATTTGTCCAGATTCTCTGGTTCATGCTGGCATGAAAAATGGCCTCCTGAAACTCTTGGGGAACAATGCTAATTGTCATACTTTTTCAACCCTTCTGCCCTCAATGGTGTGGGTTAAAGACTTTCCCTACAGTTGCTCCGATTTATTTTTGAAGTTTTTTTTAACAGCTTCGTTGAGATATAATCCACATACCACACAGTTTACTCATTTAAAATGTACAATTTAGTGGTTTTGCTCACTATAGTCATTTGTACATTTTTATCTCCCCCCCCCCAACTCCCCCTTCAAAAAAAGCCTTGGATTCCAGTAGCAGCTGCTCCCAGTTTCTTTCCAACCCTCTTCCCGCCCTTTCACCTCATAGTCCTAGGCAACCACTAATGTACTTTCTGTCTGTAGATTTGCCTACTCTGGACATTTCAAATAAATGGAAGCATAGCATATGTGGCCTTTTGTGACTGGCTTTTTCAGTTTGCATAATATTTTCTTTATCTTTCTTTTTTTAATTTTATTTTTTCTTTCTTTATTGATTAAGATATTACATATGTGCATGCATACAAGTCCTTTGGTTGATCTCTCCCCCTTATGCCTACCCTCTTGTATAATATTTTCACATAATGTTGTAACATGTATCAGTAGTTCATTCCTTTTAATTGCCAAATGATAGTCCATTGTATGGATATATTGTATTTTATTTAGCTACTCATCAGTTGATGGACATTTGGGTTATTTCTTCTTTTTGTCTATTAGGAATATACTAGTGGCCCAGTGCATAAAATTCATGCATGGGGGGGGGGGTGTCCCTCAGCCCGGCCTGCACCGTATCCAATCTGGGACCCCTTGGGACCACTGGCTCCTAACCTAAACTGGCAGTCAGACATCCCTCTCGCAATCCGGGACCACTGGCTCCTAACTGCTCACCTGCCTGCCTGCCT